GGATGAATATGATGGTTTGTTGGCACCGGTCTATCTGTGGTTACAGGTGATCATTTTATCAGAGCGAATGTCAAAACAATGTCAAAACTCACACCCCCCAAAACCAAAAAACTTAATGAAAATATGAATATCTGAATATATGTATTCTGAGCAGGTAACTGTCTTTTGACTCGTTGAAAAGAACTGTTTTAAAATAAATAAGGTTACAGAAGTTAGGCAAGGTTTCGGATGATTACTCAGATGGTTGCCTTATTGAATGATCCATTGTTGAAAATGTCGCTCAGTAGTTACAGTATGACTGTAATCTGTCAGAACTATGAATGCATCTCTCAGCGCACATGCACTGTAACAGCCAAACCTTATTCTCAATGATGTGATGTAACCATGCAAAGATGAATGATGTCAAACTGACACTTCCCGCAAAATCTGACCTGACAGCTTAAATTATAAATCATTATTGTGCATTGGGGCAAGCAGTTTGGAAATGCTTTTTATGTGCTTGTGCAATAAATGATCTTTGTTCATTTTCAGTCCAAAAAATCATCTGTAGCACAGCTTTAAATCTTAACGCGTCTGCATTATAAATGAAACCACTGATTTTAAAGTGTAATTAATTAGTTTTTACTCATTTACTGATTTGTCTATGTGCTCTTTAGGAATCACACAGCACATATTGGAACCGCTATAACATAAAAATAAATTAAAATGTGTAAAATAAATGGCAAACTGTGCTAAATAAATGTGTTGCTGTTCAACATTTATCTCTGAAATAAAATCAAATAAATATACCTATGAGTTATTCAACTTTCTATGAATTTGAAAGGATTCTAAACATGTTCATCACTAATGTTATTCATATGTAAAAAGATAACATGATATTGTACATTTGTGTATCTATCCAAACATTAAAAAACATTAATGTATAAGAACCATGCTTTATGTATAAAAACCTATGAATACTAATGAACTCATGTAGGCGTTTTTAATTCACTGAGTGCTATCCAGTCAGTTGCCATCTTGTAAATAAAAACAATCAAAAACAAACTATTTTTTTTTTTTTTTTAAAAACTCTTTGCACTTTGATAAAACAAAAAGACAAACTTGTAATTAAATGGAAGGTCATGTGGAGTGCATTGCAACGTGGGATACAATATTCCACAGAGTGCTCTCTGTTTGTTTACTGCTGTTTTTTTTTTGTACAAATGTGAACTAAGAAGTGTGCTGTTGTCTCATGCCAGTTTAACCTTTGACCCTTTGCAAATGAAGCAGACAACTGAATTAAATAAACCATTAAAAAAAAAAAGAACTTCAGTGCCCATGGTCCGAAATGTAAAACAATTTCCTTTCCTTGTAGTTTACAATGTTTGTTTGAAAGCGTTTGTAAATAAACAAAATAAATGAACCGCATGTTTCAGCGATAGGACCTGAGTTTTTCTTTTCATATTCTAGGAATGTAACTGTCAAACGGTTTTATGTGATGTTAATGACATTTGACTAACACAAAATGTTTTCCATATGGTGAATTATAAGCCCTTCATACATTTATTAATGTATAAATACTTCATATTTCATAATGTGATGCATTATGGACGATATTCAAGATGCATAATTTCCAAGAGGCCCTGGTGTCATGGAAAGGGGTATTTTCTAGAATCTTCCATCATTTCCTGTTTCAGCTGTCTGGTAGGAAACAGATAATACCAAATTGGGGGAAAATTGTCCAAATCTGTGCACAATTACCCCCATCTCTCCTCAGTAAGACTCCCCTGGCACTGTGCTTTCCATCGCTGCATGAGACCAAGCTCAGCACTCAGTCCTATTAGCCTCCATTTTCTGACCCTCTCACAAACATTACTGCAAACTGCAGCCGTTCAGATGCATTTACTGCCATTCCTTCCCAAACAGTAGAGTCATTGGACACAAGGCGTCCGTGTGTGTCAATGAGAGACAAATAGAGGAAGAGAAGGAGACGTTTAGAAATAGGAAATGTGTTGTCAGCGTTGAAGGAAGTTTTCAGAGTCCTGGGAAGGTCACAAGGACAGCAGGGATTAAGTTATTGAACGACACGGCTAAATTGGTGGATAATCTTTCATTCTTTTTTTTTTTTTTTTTTAAGTTAGAAACATAAAAACCAAAGGAAGCACTTTCATGTTGTCTGGTTTCTGTGTGAATGATATAGTACCTTATCTTTGAAGACGTCTCTGGAGCTCATTTGGCCTGGTCTGAGATCCTTTGCTTTCATCAAAATACGAGTAACCCTGATGAAAAACGTCTATCGTAAAAAATGTTCATCAAATGCTGAAACAGATTAGTCTTGGAGGTTTTGAGATACCTCAAAGTTTTCCAAACCTAGTGAGCTGCCTACAGAGGGAGCAATTCAAGGTATGACAGATGCACTCTTGACATGAAAACTGTTTCAAAACTTTGATACTGCCTTGTTTAAGGTGTTAATACTGCATATATTATACAAGGCAATTACAAACTTATATTTCATTCAGTACTGAAAAGTATCAATAAACAATGGTTAAGTGTATCATGCGTAATAACATGCTAAATTTGTTGCATATGCTTGATTTAAAAAAAAATACTGAATTTTTTATTTATTTATTTATTAAATATAATACCATTCAAAAGTTTGTGGATTTTTTTTCCTACATTTAAGGGAGGTTCTTATGCTCGTTAAGGTTGCATTTATTTGATCAAAAATACTTCTTATAAATGTTGAGAACAGTTGTGCTGATTATACATTTTGTGGAAATTGTGAGCCCACCAAGACAGCCATTGTGACAGCCTTTATTTTGAATTTTTTTTTCTTCTTTTGATCAATTTAATGCATCCTTGCTGAATGAAAGTACTTAAAAAAAAATCTCAAGAATTTAATTCCACACAGTTTAAGCCTTCAAACCCAGATTTCCTGATTATTAAAAAGAATGTATTTTAAACAAAAAGCTTTATTTCAGTTTTTTCCTTTTTTCTTGTAGTTGTCCTTTGCCAGAGCATTTGAACATTTTATAGGAACTCAAAATATGTTTTATCCACATGATTAACAAATAAAAATATTCTCATAGTAACACATGGAGAAAAAAAAAAAAAACATATCAGGACTACATGTACCAGAATGCATCGTGATACAAGCAGGAAACAACAACAACAACAACAGCAACATCTGACTTGTCTAGACTCATGTAACTGCAGAACTGGTACCATCGTTGCTCTAATAATTCAAGGGTCTACATTATAATTTCATATCACATATGAATAATTTCTGCTGCTCTTTTGAAAAGTTAAAAATAACACGGGAATAAGTCAAATATAAAAGTTCCAACAAACATTTAAAAAACGTTGTTCTTTCTCTTAGACAATCCATGCCGATTTGCCTTGACATCTTCATGACATATTTTTACAGTCACAAAACAATTCCAACGCACAAATATTCCCACATCTTTATAGTTTCTCCTTTCTGTTCATTTTTTTTTCTTCATGAAATTGTCTCAAAAGCAGAAGTGCTATGTGGATTTTGAATCCCTCATATGGAGTCTCATGTAGCGTTTCTATTTGCAGTGCAAGGCCTCGGTCCGTCAGTCTTTACGCCAAAGCCTGTGATGTCACAGCAATGTCACAGTGACCGGGCGCTCAGGGTCCTGAGGCCTCTCGTTCAGCGGCCCTCCTCAGCACGGATAAAGGGAGCAAGTGCAAGTGTGGGAGATCTATGTGTGACGGGCAGCACATAGAATAGACCACATTCAAAAATAACAGCGAGAGAGAGAGAGAGGCAGATATAAAGAGAACAAGAGAGCGACACAGGCTGGGACGAAAGTTAGAAAGCCGACCTGACAACAAACACTTCTTCGACACAGACATCCCTCTTCCACTTGGCACTGTACACTGCAGAAATACATTCTCTTAATCTGTATTTTTGACTTGTGTAAGTCTGCGTAAGATATTAAGACCATCATTTACCAGTAGGGTAAACAAAATGTCACTCAATGTAAGATTATTATTTGAAATAATAAAATCTAACACATTTTTCTCCCTAACATTTTCGTCTCGTTTTTATTCGTTGACGAAAATGTCAATAGATTTTCGTCATAGTTTTTGTCATTCAAAACGAGTTTTTATTTCGTTATCGTCTCATTTTTGTCAGTGAGAAAATGCCGTTGACGAAAATGATTCGGCAACGAAATTAACACTGCTCTATAGCCGTCGTCATTGCGCGGTGTGACGCTCCGCTCAATATTCCGCTCTATGAATGTGCGTTCCGTTGAGTTGCTCACGGCCCATGTGAACGTTCCACTCATGTATGTATGAATGAATGAATGAGGGATTTATATAGCGCTTTATTGTGTATTGCTGTATACTCAAAACGCTTTACAATCATGCACCGCACATGCTCAATGGAAAAGCAAAGTCCGCTCAAATAACGCAACGACAGTAAATTTCTATGTAGTATACTTGTTCCTGTTTGCATCATTGCTACCATGCTGTAACATGGTGTAACACAGCTGTACTGGGCAACGCTACCCTCTCCTGACGCTATATGCTCTGCTCACATGCTCTGACAATAATAGCTTTGAAGGACTGTATTTGGATAATAATAAAAAAAATCAGTTAAATCAGATTCTGTTGTATAGAACTGAATAAAAATTATATATTGATATTTAATATTAATATATTTTCTATTCAATTTTGTGTTACTTTCATTTTCGTTTTTTGTTTTCGGCCAAGAGCATCCAGAATTTTCATTTCGGTGCATCCCTCTGTAAGACTATTATTTGAAATAATAAATCTTATACAACTTTTGTTTATAAATGTAAATGTAACTTGTTATACAATATTTTTACTGGAAAACAAGTCAAAAATACCAACGAAGAAAATGATTTTTTTGCAGTTCAAGACGGACAAACTCATTTCAGATTGAGCACCAGTGAAAAAAGGCCATTTTTAGCTTTTTTTATTTATTTTTTTTAAATCTATGCAACATTCTTGTTTTTTTTGTATGACAAAAAAAGATCATAATAGAAAAATCTACACTGTCGTCACTCCCCTCTCATGACTCTAAAAGCCTGAAATGTTCCATGGTTGCATGTAATCTCTTACCAAAACCAATATTGTCCCCACTCCCCTTATTAAACAATTTTAAGTAGTGTCTTTGGCAGATTCACAGATAGAACTGTCTTCTTCTCTCAGTGAGTAATGGAACAAGTTTTTTCTAGTAATTTTGTAAGGGACTGTGACTGCTCTGTACATCTGTTCATATGCGAACATCGGCATACATGCTCACACGAGCACAAACAAACACGAACATAGACACTCGCACACGCTCTCACAAAAGTGAAAATTGAGCTCAGATGACAGTGAAGGCTCAGGTAGGTGGTTAACGCAGACAAACAAAGCGATTCAGATGGCAGTCGGTTGAATCTGTCTCGTGACACGCAGATGATGGTGGGATGTTGGCAGAAAAGTAGAGCGCTCTCAAAAAAGCTGGCCAATTCACATGTCTTTGTCAGTTGAGCAAGCGTGCCTATGCAGGAATGCCCAAATTTGGGCATTTGGGCGGAGCATAATTGTCTTAATTGTCTGCAAATTAGGGTTGGTTAGCGAATGTCCTGCAGGGTTGCAGGCTGGGTAAAAATCCATATCAACGTCTGTTGGCTGGACTCCAGAACTGAAGGGGGGGGACGTGTCATTGTGATGCATGATGGGGCGGGGCAGGTTGGGTGGGTGTGATCAGACTCAGAGGGTTATAGTGCTATGAGGAGCACAGGAGCAGAAGCAGCGGAAGCATGAGCCACAGACTGGGCGTTAATGCCCAACCACCGCTGGAGTCATCTGTCAGGAACGGCTGCAAAATTGTATGTGTATGTGTGTGTGAGTATGATTTCTGTTTCAAAAAATGTTGTTCTCTTGAACTTTCTATTAATCAAAGAATCCTGAAAAAAATCACACTTTCCACAATATTATTCATCAGCATTACTGTTTAACATTGATAATAATAATAAATGTTTATTAAGCATCAAATCAGCATATTATAATGCTTTCTGAAGGATCATGTGACACTGAAGACTGGAGTAATGAGTGGGACGTGTCATTGTGATGCATGATGGGGCGGGGCAGGTTGGGTGGGTGTGATCAGACTCAGAGGGTTATAGTGCTATGAGGAGCACAGGAGCAGAAGCAGCGGAAGCATGAGCCACAGACTGGGCGTTAATGCCCAACCACCGCTGGAGTCATCTGTCAGGAACGGCTCTGGAGACTCGTACAGAGAGTCATCTGACAAAAAAAGAAAAAGAAACGATTGCACATTAATAATCATAATTCATATTTTTTGTTACTGTTGCCTCCTCCTGTCTGCTCGACATTACTTACAGTAGAAACACAACTAGAAAACAACAGCATGGATTATAGGGTTTTTACTGATCACAGGAAATATTAATTGCAGGGGCAGATAATATGATTTGGTCTGGTGCCATGTTTTTTTATTGTTATTTAAAATACTGAGTACTTTTGAACAGGTACTGTATGTATTTTAAAAATGTTTGTGCACCATATATATATATATAGTTTATATTTAACATATCTAGCTTCTATGTTGCATCTTCATCTCGTATATATGTGAAATAGGATGAAGCTTCTGTGTAAAGGCTCTGCATTCTTTACTCTCTAATTGCCGCCTCTTCTAGCCCCTGGTCCATGCTTGTACTTTTTCCCAGCCTGCCTTTCATTGGGCTTTTGTCTCAGGTCCAACAATTCTCTTCTCTTGATCCCTAAAGACATTAAAATGGAGTCTGGGGTTTAGATGAACCCTTGTGTCCACAACAAGACTAGGATTCCACCCCGTCAGAGAGCAGGAATATAAACAAAGACACAGAGGGGTCACGGCGGATGATAAAGCTTTTCACTGACAGGCATCGGTTGTTCTTTTCGTTACTTTCCATCCTGGATATGCACATATAAATATTTAATGAAAACACCCAAAGCCCACACCCCAATGAAACAACATTAAGGCCTTCGCAACAACTTTCTAATTCAAACAATCAACTAAAGTCAGTTTTTGACTCTCACGCTCTCATGAGATCTAATCGCTGTGAAAGGCAGTGTACATTATCTCTGAGAAGCTGGATGGAGTCACGAGTGTTCTTGTAAACAGATAAATGATAGAGTGAGAGGTGAATCGTTATTTCAATTTGCATGTGTTTGTCTGAACCGCTCTCTGGAACACTTCTGTTTGCTAACAATTACATCACGCTAATGGGCTGCCATATGAGCTGAGGTTTCTCCTCCAAACTGGCACGACCCCTGAATGATGACTCTGGAAATTAGGGATGGGAATTGTAAGGAATTTAATGTGATTTTGTGATTCCGATTCACTTTTCTTAATGATTTCATAAACATGATGGAATCTCAAACGACACATTTTCAGATTCCACATTACAAGTTCTAAGAAATATAGAGTATTTATGTTGGTTTCATGTGGTTTTGAAAATGTTTAGAAAAGTTTAGATTTAAAGGAATAGTTCTCCCAAAAATGAAAATTCTGTGATGACAGAATTTACACTTTTGGGTGAATCCCTTTAATGACTATAAAATGTCATGTGCCAAATAAAAGGTTGTAACATTTTCCTTTACAACCTATATCAATGTACAAATCTCAGTGTTTGTTTGTTTATTTATGGAAAGTTTTTAAATATATCTCGGTATGTAAAAATTATATTTTAATAATATTAAAAATTATTAATTAATATCATAACGTTTTTGGTGAGTCTAACCACATTTTACAACCTGAACCATCTTTGCTTTTCCTGATAAGATTGATTTATATTTTGTTTTTGGAAATGTACTGACCTTGACACACAGTCATGAGGGTCTGGAGGGGTCCAATCTATGACATCATTTCCTGTTTGATGTTTTTTTTTCTACATGTTGGTTGCACAACACTTGGTCGACATGATTTGGTGGATAAAAGTTTTTCAAATGCAAATTTTTTTTTATTTGAAGATTATGTTAAACTACCTACTTATTTAGGTTTGATAATCCAGTTTAGACATTATATAAGTAACTTTGTAACTACTTGTTAACTAGCAGTCATTAGAGTATTAGTAGACTGTCTGCTTAATATCTGCTAACATTTTATTTTGACAGTCACCCAACACATATTCTACTGACTACAAGTAACTTTGCAAGTACGTCAACTTATTCTACTAACCCTAACCTAACAGTCTACTAATATTCTAGTGAGAGTGGTTGCCATGTACTTATTGTTAGAAGAATGCCTAGAGTGGACTATTGAAATAAAGTGTAACCATTTTTTTCTTTATGATATCAGGACATGTCAAGCCATGGACCTAAATATATACATTGTCTATTGCATAAGAACTGGCTCTCAATTCTCAACCTTACTGGGGAAACGTCCCTACTGAACCTTTTAAAATGTTTATAAGGTTTTAAAACCTTATAAAATATATTGAAAGCCTTTTTTTTCATCTAAACAAGTGTAAGAAAAAATGCCATGACAGCATTCAAAACATCACTCTGCAACTTTTCACGTCCACCTCTTGCAGCATACCTATGTTTTTACTTCTGACTATTTTCCAGGTTCTTGAGGATGAGCAGGTGAGATAAATGCAAAGGCTGTATATTATAGCCTGACTTTAGTGAACATATTTTCTGGATGTGTCTGACACTTCACAGTCATGAGGGAGAATGATTTAAGCAGTGTTACCCATAGCTGGTATTTCTACCTGTGACGAAGGGTTAAACAAACCAAGACCTCTCTGTTTAACTGCAGGCTATCCTGGTGTCAGTGGCTCATGTGTGGGAGCCCCTCCAGGTCTCTTAGTGTCCGGACCGGCTTGGCTTAATTAGTTGCAGGTCAAAGTTTTTGATTGTTATCTGGCCTGTGTGATATGAACAGCTTCCTACAGCAAGTGCCCTCAAGGGGCAACACTAAACCACTGTTTCTGGTATCATGAATGATCGGCCCCATAAAACCTTCAGCCTCATAAAACAAGCTGTCTTAGTCATCAGTGGAGATCTACAGCAATGGGAACGAAGTTCCTGTACATAAATTTCACAAAGCTAAGCACTTCACCCATCACTGGAGTTAATACAGGTGTCCCCAGAATTCCCAGGGTTGACCTGCTGGGTTAAATCAAGCTGGACACGAGGACTGGGATGTGAGATTCCTGGTACTGATTTGCAAGTATCACCATAAATGTGACCCTGGACCACAAAACCAGTCTTAAGTCGCTGGGTATATTTGTAGCAGTAGCCAAAAGAAAATTGACCCTTATGACTGGATTTGTGGTCCAGGTTCACAAAATAACATAAATGGACAGAGCGCAAACACTGGGATATACTTACTCGTAGGCTTGACGTACACCTTCAGCTTCAAACACGGCTTCCCACCGAGGTTGGGGTGTGGTGAGGCTGTGGAGACACAGAGAAAGTGACAATTACAGACTGATAAATCTATGTGATTTGACGTGATTTACTTGGCACAAGTGGCACAAGAGTTTTCCATTCATTTTCTCTATAGGGATTTAGAAAAAAAAGCAAAGAGCTCTGAGCACAGTGTTATAAACTCTTTAATTACTGATAAAAAGACATTAAAATCATACAAAAAACAAATGTGTCTACTTCAATTATTTTAAGAATTATCTACTCATCACAAACAGCAAATGATGTAATTGAATCAAAGAAAGTGCAACGTAAAACTGTTGACTTACAGTCCTTGATTAATAAAAGTTTGGGGGCAGTTTAAGATTTTTTTAATTAATATTTTTATTCAACAAGCCAAAAAAGCAATACATTGATCAAAAATGACTTTATATAAAAAAAGACTTTATATGATGTAACAAAATATGAATGCTGTATGGTGTTATTTTGAACTTTCGATTGATCAAAGAATCCTGAAATAAAAAATGTACCCTGGTTTCCATACAAATATTAAGCAGCACAACTGTTTTCAACTTTGATAATGATAAGGAATATTTCTTGAGCACCAAATTAGAATGATTTAATCATATTTCACAATGATGTAATAATATTTCATAGCTCTCATTGCTGTTTTTATTTTATTTTTCATCAAATAAATGCAGCCTTTGTTAACATAAGACAATTCTATCAAAAAAAAAAAAAAATCTCACCGTCCACAAACTTGTGTAATATATAGGTTATTCAGGTTAGCATGACTCTGTTAGTCCCCGCTGGTAGATTTTCACGTTTTATTTCAGAAACCATACTGTTGTGCTTTATAGCACTGCAAGATAGAAAAAGTCAAGACAAAGGCCATGTGGTGCTCCGATGGTAAACACACGTGAGAGTCAGTCTCCTTGGTAAGGTCATGTCTTCTGACACCATGGCAACCAGGAGCTGTTGTACTCTCTGAACCAGACACAACAGCTGCCTGGAGAGCAATGAACAAATTTCCATTACTCTGCCATGTGAGCCTCTCTCATTCTCTCTCTCATCCTCTCACTCACACACACACACACACACACACACACACACACGGCTAAGAGAAGCACTTTGAGTCAGTTCTCCATTGAAAGTGTAACTTCATTCTGGCACTCGTTTCCCCTCATCACCTTCAAAAGCACACAAATGGATTTTTGGCTAATTTTTTAAGATCGCAAATGGAAAACAAATCACGATTTTTTGCCATGAAACAGTTTTCTGACTGCTTTTCAGATTAATAAAAATTCCTTTAGCAATTACCACAAATCACTCAGCAGCTCAGCTAATGGAGAGCTGATGCGTTCTGCACAAAAAGCTTATTTTGGGTGAATTCTGCTCTAACAGGTGTTCTTAAGTGTGTGGATGTGAAATTGGCACATGGTGTTCTCATGCCGTTCTCATGCCAAAAAAAAAAAAAGGTTACATTTTACTGTTTCTACACAGTTTTTTTAGGTACTTTGACATACTATGTACACAATGGCGCATTAATAGGATAATTATACAATATCATTCAATTGTAAAAGACTAATTAAACATTATAGAATACTATATAAAAAGTATATAAAATTGTGTGTAAAAACACATCAAAGCTGAAGAGTGTCTTCTGTGCTACTAGCCTCATCAGCTGGAATGGAAAAACTACTATTTTCCAATTGGATTCTCAAAGACGCCTAACCCATATTTTATTGGTCAGAAAAAAAACAACAACAACCAGATCCGCCCCAAAAAATGAAATTTGGTTGAGCCAAAAATGCATTAAGTTGATCAAAAATGAAAGTAAAGACATTTATGATGTTACAAAATGTTTCTTGAATGCTGTATGCTGTTTTTTAACATTTTAAAAATGACATTTCATCATTAAAATTTATTTAGGTGAAACGAAAATTATCGAATAAACATACACAGAAATGAACTTATCATTATGTACGCATGAAGAAAAGTGACAACAAAAGAGATTTTAGATTTTTGAGATAAAACATTTTTTTCTGTTTTCTGAGGGCTATCAGACATCTGATGTACTGTGTGTGTGTGTGTGTGTGTGTGTGTGTGTGTGTGTGTGTGTAACACTTCTCTGGAGGAGGAGACGGCCTCGTCTGATGAATAGCCAGACTAAGTACTTCTCAGCCCAGGCCGCTGTCTGAAACAAAATGTGCACAATAGCAGGTCTCGCACCAAGCGTCAGGGCGGACTGCATTAAAAACAGCTCAGGACAGGCATAAGAAACACCCAGCCTCGAGTGCAAACTTTGAACCCTGGGTTCTTTTTTTCCATTCTTTTTTCTGTGATTGACCCTCTTCTGTCTCCGTTTTCCCCTCACAACTGGGGTGACAACGTCCCATGGCTGGAAGGAAGGTCTGGGACGCCCTGCTGGTTTAGCGACATTTCTGTGACGCCCACCACCTCAATTTCCTGGACAGCCATTATATTTGAAGCGATACCCACTCGAGACACCCTGTGCCTGCTTTGGGTCAGACTAGCAGCACGTTTACGAATCACACTCAACTGAAAGAGATGGTTTACTCAAAAATGAAAATTCTGTCCGTTTACTCACCCTCATGCTGTTCCAAAACCTTTTCATTTTGATTAGTGCATACCTGTCAACCCTCCCGTTTTTCCCGGGATTTTCCCGTATTTTCCCATTCTATCCCGCTATCATCCCGTTTAAATATTTCCCCGTATTTCTCCCGTATTTTTAATCTTTCTATAAAAAAAAAATCCCACTGGGCGTATTTTATATGTTTGCTACATTCGCTTCCGGTAAAACTCCCGTAATTTGTATGGGTCAAACCTCATTATATGAATAATCACGACAACAAATTCCAAGGTTGTCCAGTTGTCAGATCTTGCATGAAACGCATCTTTCTCACACGATCGACGCATACAAATTTCAACCCATTTGTCCCCTCAACTTGGCAACCTACAGCCCAGTGGTGCTACTGATATGTGCGCAGGTAGTACCGTGGGAAGGAAAGATCACTGGTAGAAATGGGAGGAGAAGACTCAGGTGGTGCTCCAGTGAAAAATCCTATGTTCCATGTGGCTGAGCATAATTTTCATGTATGTTATGTTATATTTAAGGTCTATTTGTGTATTTTATGGTCTAATTCTCCTTATTTTGATTACATCCAGTGTTTATGTTTTTGACTCGACGATTTTGGTGTCCTCCTCATTTACCCCTCACCTCAACACAAGGCAGAGACATTTGGGGGAGCACACCGACGAAGAGGGTTACACATGTAAATGTATATTTACATGTATAGTGAGATATACTGTAGCTTACACTTCAAAAGGCTATTTAACTGATTAAATATGAGAGCAAAGTCAGGTGCTGCGCTGCTTTGTTTACTGCGGTTACCGGGGAAACGGCTATATTCCTGGCAAAAAGTGCCACCTGCTGGCAGAGAATAAATTAGCATTTTTCAATAAGCCCTTCTGCTCTTTTAGACCAAAGCCAAAAACGACCCTTATTTTTACGCAGAAAACATGCAGTTGTAAATGTGAACTGGTGGATCGACAAGAAGATAATGAATTATAAAACTCTAAAGATATCCTAAACTAAGATATATTTATGTTACTAAATGAA